TGCCTTTCCCCTTTTATAGCTACTGCAAAAAAGGCTTTGGCAGGGGGGAAGAGCTTACCCCTTACACAGACACACTTCAGAAACGGCTCTCAATGCTCCCCCCCACAGCGTCCACAGCCCTCTCAGTAGGAGTCCTCCTGCCTGACTCAAACACAGAGGGACAGCTATGAAATCGAGGCAGGCTGTCCGAGGCCTGGTTAAGCGCGCACCAGCGAAGACGGGAGAGCTAATCTGTTTAGTTCCGTCCTTTCAGCGGATAAAAATAAACCCTGCCAAGAGAAACTGGAGCCAGCAAAGCCCCACGTCCATCTGCGATCAGCAAACAGGCCAGGGGACCAGTGCTCTGCGGATGGACAGCGAGGCCTGCAGGGTTTTTGAATTTGAACGCACCTGCGATCCTAGCTTGTCTAGCCCAACTAAGGTTTTGGCTCAATACGACCAATTTACCCCTTTTCTCCAGGCCCGAAGCAAGGGATCAGACCCACACAACCTCTAGAGGAACCTGCTGCTCTGAAAAAGAATCTCCCACCTGCAACCCCCACTCTGACTCAATTCCTTACCCTGCATCTGTGCCCATCTTTCTCCACCCCACCCGGCCCCAGAGAGCTCACTGCAACCCCAGCTCACCAACCCGTCCGCAGGCCGAGAGGCACTTCCAGTCCCCGCTGCATCTGCGGCAAGACCCCTCCCTGGAGCGGCAGGGGGTACGCGCTGCAACTGGCCTGCAGGGCAAGAGGGCAGCCAAGCCCCGTGAATCACCCTCTCCTCCAGGAAGTGAGCACGCCTGACCCAGCCGGAGCCGCCGCTCAGGGAGAGAGTGCACGTCAGACTGCGCTCAGGAACGTGCAGCCTTGCAACGCCAGTGCTACAAACCGGATGGCAGAGCTATGGACACCCTAAGAGAAAGACTTCGCTTTTGTACGAGCATCCGGGCAGACCTGGGTTGAACACATGCCTCTCAACTTTAAATGTTACACCGAGTCCTCCTGGGGACACGTGAAACTCTCGTGAGTAGACATTTCAAAAAGGGTGGAGCTGACAGAAGCTTAATTCCAATCTAAATTGCATAGCAAAAAGTTTCAAAACTCTGCACTTCTCCATGATAGTTTCTCAGCTGGATTCTCCTTTGCATCCCTTGTGTGTGTGTTTGTGTGTGTGTGTAAGGGAGGGGGGGCAACTTCCTTGCACTTCATCAGAATGCACACTTGTCAGAGCCCATTGCTATTTCTCTAACCTGCACACCAGCACTGACTTGTGCAGGAATGCAGCCCACACTGACAACATTCACAAGCAAACATGAATGAAGCACTTTCTGTCAGCAGGCACGATGAGCCCGGCTGATCGCGCTGCAGGCACTGCGTCAGCGGCGAACTAGGCAGCAACACAGCTGCTGGAGAGTAAAGTTCGCACTACAGTGACATCAGGGCCGAGCGCTTCTGAATCCACATTACACTGCCTCTAGAATGTATCAGGGAGATTATTGATTTTGTGGGTTGAGGGATTAATCCGCGCAATTTCATGTTCCACCAGTTTCATATCCTGTAACAAGGACACCATGTCTGCCGGCTGTTGTTTCCGTTAAGATGGTTACTGCTGAGGCTAATTAACTTTGTCTGCGCAGCAACAAGAAGGAATCATGTTGAACCAGGAACACGGTCACATGGGAGCAGAAGGGCAGAAGGAAGACGACAAGTGAGAAGAGGCCGATCTTTCTTGAAGGCAACGAGGGTGTTGGCTTCGACCAAGAGGCAGGGCTGCTTGTTCCAGACACCCACCACCCTTTGTGCACGAGGGGCCCCCTGTTCCCACTCTTAAACAGCCTTCCACAGGGTTTTCACTTTCGCTTGTGTTTCACGGCCCTTATTACTAGACCACCCACAAATCCCAGACCTGCCCCTTGGGAGCGCACCCAGTTTAAAGGAGGAACCCCTTGGGGAAAATCGAAAAAGGTCAAATGCAAATGACCTTTTTTTCCATGTCACCATGGTGACTGCAGTATTACTGGCACACATGGCTTGCACTACACTCCTTTGTATGACTTCCATCATCATCATCCACCTCCTTTATTAAGCCATCTCTCTCTCTCACAACCGTGACTTCTCCCTCCTGTGAATAAAGCCTTCTTCAGGGAAGGAAACACACAGTGAGGACTCGGACAATGGAGACCCCCGGTATATTTGACAGGAGGACACAGTGTCTACACTGCCCGATTCCCCCATGAAAACTAAAAGCCAGCCAGGTGAAAGCTAATTCTCATCAGAGTCCGGCTAAACTCTTCTCCCCGATCCCATCTCCGTGTCCGACTTACACTTCAGTTTTCACGGTCCCTGTGGTCACTTTATTTTACTGGACTGGCGTGTTAGGATATCGATTGGTGTTTGGTTATTTTTTTGCTTTCTGTTTACATTTAATCTAACCCTATCGGCACTGTAAGAACCTCTGGGCAAGGACGAGGGTGTCTGCTCAGCACAGAATAAAAGAGCTTGTCCTGAAACCTCCTTCGGTTCCTTCAGCGCTTCCCGCCTGAAGCCTCTTTCCCCGTTTACCTCGCTTCTGTCCTCACCTGGGCGCCCCCGCGCCCCTTTCCAACCCCTCTTTCCCCACCCTCTTCCCACTTCTTTAAAACAAAAAGAAACGGGGGTCCGTGGTGGAACTGAGGACCACCCCTCCGCCTCTCGCCGGCAGCGGAGAGGAAGAGAACCCGTTTTCGCACACGGGGAGCCGCAGGTGTCTGGGGGACAGGCTTCCCAGATCCCGAATTCCCCCCCCCAAGCGAAAAAACGCCCAGGCCCGGGCTTGACAGACTCCGGAGAAAGCCCAGGGGCAGGACGTCTCCCACGTTCTCCCCTCGCTGGGGGGACCGGAGGGGGCAGGTTTCTTCCGGCAGGACCAGGCTCGGGCCAGAGGCCTGCAGACCCTCTCCCTGCGGCCTGTCTGTCTTGCCTTCACCACCACCCCCCTCCACACACACACATTTCAGCTTTCAGCAGCTGTGCTTATTTATTTCCTAGCACAGCCCGGGGAAGGAAGTTCTTCAAAGCAGGAGTGCTCTTACCAGGCTTTATTGTCTGAGGGGAGAAGAGAGGTGGGGGCCGAATCCAGCTCACACAGATCGCACACAAACACACTGAATGAACGTTCCCAGGAAGCCCGCGCCCAAGACCAAACAAACTGCACCAGATTGAACAAGAGGATGTAGGTGTAAATGTCCACCTGTTTTTTTTTTTAATTTCCACCTTCCCTGTTTCAGGAAACCTAAACAATCCCGCACTGATGACACGCCGGGTTATTGAAGTGCAAGTGCTGTACGCGAGAACGCCTGCAGTCAGCACAGGGCACAAACAAAACGTAATGAAACGTAAACTTCGAAAGATTTCCACCGTATCTACGCAAGGCGACCTGTGAACTATCCGAGAGCCATGCTTCTGAGAAAGGAAGGGAAAAAAACGCAGGCTTTTAACTCCACCGCACCACATCTGGGGGAAAAAAACACACACACACGCATCTAGATCTTGGTATTTTTTTGGGAAACCATGAGGATAAATCAGCTTTAGGAAAAAACGCGTGTTGTCCAGACCCAGGCATTCAAGCAGGCGTCGACTGTTCATGCTATGCAGTAACCATACGCCGCTGGAAATATGTTTGGAATATTTTTCCTGACACAGACGGGGGTAGCGCCTAGCGATGCCTTAAAAAAAAAAAAAAACCCAAAACTTTCGTGTCTGGGTACCCTGCCCGCTCCGACGCCCCACTCCCGGGCGCAGGATGCTGCCCTGTGCGCCGGTGGTGACCTATATTTCCCCACGGAGGGCGGTCTCCATGGTTTCCGAAATGACCGATTCTCTACGGCCTAGCTCGGTCCCCCGAGCTGTCAA